CAAATGCATAAAGGCATATATCCATCATTGTAATCTCATACAGAGTATTGAAACTGCCCTAAAATCCCCCGTGCTCTACCTGTTCTTGGCCTTCACCCCAACCCTTGGCAACCACTGATCATTTTATTGACCCTGTAGTTTTGCCTTTTCCAGAATATCATAGACTGAAATCACAGTCTGAAGCATTTCAGATTGACTTCTTTTGCTTAATAATATATATTTACCATTTTTCAAGTCTTATGCTTTAATAGTTCATTTCTTTTTAACACTAAACATTCCCTTGTTTGTACCACACAGTTTATTTGGCCACTCACCTATGAAGGACAACTTGGTTGCTTCCAGTTTTGAAGTTGCTAGAAACATCTTCATACACATAAGTTTTCATCTCCTTTGGGTAAAAACCAAGGAGGTAGTTGACAGATCATTTTGTAGGAGTATATTTGGTTTTGTATGAAGCCACCAAACTGTCTTTCTAAGGGCTCTCTGATTTTTGTCCCACTAGCAATGAATGAGAGTTCTTGTGGCTCCACATCATTGCCAGCATTTGGTGTTGTGTGTGTTCCAGATTTTGGTCATTCTAACAAGCCTATAGTGAGATTGCTGTTTTACTTTGCATTTCTCTCATGACATAATGCGGAGCATCTTTTCATGTTTATTTTCCATCTGTGTATCTTTGGTGAGATGTCTGTTAAAGTTTTGACTTGTTTTTTAATCAGGTTTTGGGTTTTTTTATTGTTGTTGAGTTTTAAGAGTTCTGTACTAAGTGTTTAGGGTAACAGTCCTTTATCAGATGTGTCTTTTGCAAATATTTTTCTCACTCTGTGGCTTGTCCTTTCATTTCTTGTGACATTATCTTTGCAAAGCAGTTTTTAATTTTAATGAATTCCAACTTGCTATTATTTATTTCATGGATTGTGTCTTTTGTGTTATAATGTTAGATGTAAAAATACATTACCTTTATGCTCAGTGAAATAAGCCAGGCAGAGAAGAAAAATACCATCTGATTTCACATATTTGTGGAATATAAAAGCAAAGCAAAACAGAAGGAACAAAAACAGCAGTAGATTCATATAGACACTGAGAAGTGACTGGTGGTTACCATGGGAGAGGGGTTGGGGTGAGTGAGTAGGGAGAGTGAAGGGGATAAGGGGCACAGAAATTTTCAATCATAAAGTAGGTTGGTCCTGGGGATAGTATAGCATGGAGAATCCAGCCAATGATTCTGTAACTTATTCCTATGTGACAGATAGTAGCTGTACTACTGGGGGTGAGGATTTAATAATATGGGTAACTGTTGAACCACTGTGTTGTATACCTGAAACTAAAATAAGACTTAAAAAATCAACAAAAATATCAATTAAGAAAAGACATTCCCATACCCAAGGTTATGTAGGTTTTCTCCTCTGTTATCTTCTAGGAGTTTCTTCTATCAACTTCATGTTTTACATTTAGGTTTTGATCCACTCCAAGTTAACTTTGATGAAGGGTATAAGGTACTGGTCTAGATTAATTTTACTGCATGTGGATGTCCTGTTGTCCCAGCACCATTATTGAAGAAAATACCTTCACTCCATGGTATCACCTTTGATCCTTTATGGAATCACACATGCTCTCAGCACCTATGGGTGAGGATTACAGCAGGGACCAGGGCTAGTGTGACTTCAGCTAGGCAGTGTGTTTCTGAGTGGCTCCAAATAAGACTCCAGGTGGGCAGGCAGAGCAAATGGCCTCCAGTGAAAGTGATTCAATGCTGGAATAATAAATAAATTAGATTAAATGTCTCCAAAAAAATTCTCAGTGTGATATAAGACAACAGTAATATAATTTAACAACTGAAAACTTTGCAGAATGAGAAAAAAATAGTGTTTTTCAATAAGGACATCTATCTTAATTCAGCCGAGACAAAAAAAATAAAGTTAGAGTAAGTTCTCGCATCTCTAGTTGTCTAGTTAAAGGTACTTCTAGCTTTCTTACCTGATCTTGTCCCAGACACACAGAGACAAATTGGGTCAGGTCCAGCTTTCTCACATGGTCCTTAAATGCCATCTCATTAAATCTTGTTTTGAATTGAGATAGCTGATTTTTCTCTAGGTCCAAAAGAAGTAAGAAAATCTGAAAGCAGGTGAGAAAGTGATTCATTCATTCGTATAACAGATATTATTAGAGTTGCCAATCTACCATAACGGCTCTGTCCCTGGTAAAAATACTGAAGAGGCCCTTTTCTTCAAGGTAAGAGGTAAGGGTCCTGAAGGATTGGAGAGCTGTGGCTCCCATAGGTGTTTTTATTCATTTTTATTGAGACTCCTCTACACATTGACTCAGGTAATTGTCATAATTACACTCTTAGGGAGGGATTGATTTTGGCAGTTCACAAAAGATTAAGCCATGTCAGATCAGGAATTACCCTAGTGTTGCAGAACTAGGACCATACATTCAGGATGCAGACCTGGGTCTATGTTACTGTATTGCCTGTGCTTTCTCTTCTGCCCCATGGTGCCAGCCTAAGGGAAGCAGCCCACGTCCCTGGGATGAAGCAGAGCTTGGCTAGAGAAGGAGCCTACAGATAATTTAGGAAGAGCTGCAGAATGCTTTCAAATGCTAGGAGGAAGGGACTGCTATGCTGAATCAGTGCAGCCAAAACCAGAAAACAAGCACCAGTCAGGACATGGACAGAAACAAGCCAAGGCACATCACGATCTATCTGCATGGCCTTCCAGGTGGTATGGGTGGCATGAAGAAATGTTTCTCGTAAGAACTAGGCAGGCCAATGAGATGGGCTGGTTAGCAGCTTGACATTTGGAGCTACATAAAACCAGTTTATAATCTTCACTCTGTCATTTACTCCATCTGAGGCTATTGGTGATTAAATATCTTCTTAAGAAATTCACTTTTCACATTCGTAAAATAGGTGTCATTAAACTTATAACCTGATAGAATTAGCATAGGATTTGGTCACATAATGTCTGTAAAGCATTCAGCCTTTGCCTAGCACATAAAAAGTAATTAGAAAATGGTATTGGTGATTATTTCCTGCCTTTCTTCCACTATTCCATGAAACAAATACTTTTATGCATATATATTTATATGCATGAATGATGATTTTCTTTGGCTATGTCTTAAAAAATGGATTTGTTTCCTGCTGGAAGTCGAAACGTTATACCTATTGGTAAGTATTTATTACGTGCATCATTATCTCCCCACCAAATACAGCAGTACTATGCCGGACTCTGAGACCTCCCATAGCATGACTTGTGTCAAAGCTTTGGGGTTGGAGAGCTCTGAAGTGAAGCCACCAGGTAACCTTCCGCTCTCCTTTCAACCTCTCATACAATTTTTTTTTAACTGAGCTATAGTCCACATAATATAAAATGCAATGGGGTTTTTTGGTAGAATCACACAGCTATTCAACGAGCACCACTCTCTCATTCCAGAATATTTTCATCACCCACAAAAGAAATCCTAAACCCACTAGCAGCCACTCCCCATTCCCTCTCCTGGCAACCACTAACCTACTTTCTGGGTTTATATACTTGTCTACTCTAGACGTTTCATATAAGTAGATATAAGTGGTATTTTATGTCTGGCTCCATTCACTTAACACAGTGTTTTCAAGGTTCATCCATGATGAGCAAGTATCAGTATTTCTTACCTCCCTCCCCCCATTTTTACACATTTATCCAGTTAGTGATTCCTAAACTCTGTCTCAAAATGCTCTAAGTCCTCTTTGTGCCATCCAGCCCCCACATACCTCACATCCTCTGAGAACTGTCCTGTCACTAGAACATGTGGCCTCGACCACCTACCCGTCCCCTCTCCCGACACGTGGAGGCTCCTGTAGGAGTTTGTGATGGGCCCTGGGAAATGTCTCTGCCGCGTGGGAACTCTCCCATTCCCACACTCCTTAGGCACGGGGTCTGTGTCTGACTTTTCACCACTGCTTCCACTGACTGACTGGTTAATGTTTTGAGGTTCAGGACAGAGCTTTGAACCAGGACTCTGGACATGTCAGGTTATGCCAATTCTAGGACTTAATAAGATATGTGATTTTATAAAGTCATTTAAGGTCTCTTTATTTCCTTACAAAGGGTCAAAACTACTCTTACTTATTCAGAGTTTTCCTATGAGGGATAGAGAAAACAGAGGAATGTGATTTCCAAATCACAGCCACTTATAAAAGTGTTAGTTGTAGAAATATGACCTCATGTTATTGTGGTCAGTGTTTCTTTGGGTTTTTCTGGGAAGATGACTGTGAGAGACGAAAGGGCTGTATGTAGAACAGCAGTTAGAAGGTGGAAGCATCTTCACAAATAAATGATCCTTTGAACTTGGGAATTAGACACTGGAGAGCAATACCTGAATAATGGCATAAAGAAGCAAAAACGCTCATGAGAAAAGTCTAATCATCTATGGAGGAATGAGGAGAAAGATCTAGAACCTGTGTATCTAGATTTTTATTCACCTGAAGTTGAGAACCTGTGTGTCAGGCACTGGTAGGTCTGAGGATACAGCAGTGAACTGTTTAACTGTGGTAATAAGAAAAATCAAAAAGGTACGTATATCGAGAGTGCTTTAGCTGAGCAGACCCTTTGATAAGGAACATGTAAGGAGAGAGCTGAATGAAGTCAGAGTCAGGCAGATGTCAGGGCAAAGCCTTTTGCTTGCAGCAGTACCGGCCAGTGCAAATATCCTGAGGCAGCAGCGTGGTTTGGTGCTTTTAACATTGAGGGCGTGTTTGTGGTGGGCTGAGACAAGGTGAGACACAGTGGTGCATACAGGGCCACTCCTCTCTGGGGCCTTAGTTTGCCCCTCCAAACAATAGGAGTGAAAGGGAGTCATCAGTATTGCTCTAATGAGGGTGAAAATTGATGTCTAATGTGAACTGGGGTAAAGAACATGTTGGGAGTTACCCCAGGGGTCTGACCTCTTTATCCAAAATAGTCAGCATCCCTTTTTCCTTCCTCATCTCTTATGCTGACCCTTTTTTTTGTTTGCCCATCTAGCCACGATTCTGGAAGCAGGAAGTACCTTAGACCTGAGAGCTGGGCAAGAAGGAGCCAGGGGAGTGGCTATGATGACTTCAGCAGTGCTGGTGGACATACGAGATGAGGTGACCTGCCCCATCTGCCTGGAGCTCCTCACGGAACCCCTGAGCCTGGACTGTGGCCACAGCTTCTGCCAAGCCTGCATCACAAGGAGTAGCAAGGAACTGGTGATCGGCCAGGAAAGGGAGAGCAGCTGTCCTGTGTGCCAGACCAGCTACCAGCCTGGGAACCTGCGGCCCAATCGGCACCTGGCCAACATAGTGGAGAGGCTCAGGGAGGTGTTGTTGGGCTCAGGCAGGCAGCTGAAGGTGATTCTCTGTGTGCACCATGGGGAGAAACTCCAGCTCTTCTGTAAGGAGGATGGGAAGCTGATTTGCTGGCTCTGTGAGCGGTCTCAGGAGCACCGCGGTCACCGCACCTTCCTCATGGAGGAGGTTGCTCAGGAGTACCAGGTGGGAGCCCAGGAGTGCCAGCTGGTGGGAGACAGGGAGGAACAGAGTACTTGGCAGATTTTAACTTCATGATCTAATCTAATTTCTCTGTAGTCTTTCCATTTAACCAGAGGAATGAACCTAGAAAATGCCCCATGGCCAAGAGTAGACAGAGATTTTATCTCTTGCTCCCAAGATCAGCTCTACATGGCCTTTTGAGAAGAGGACGCTGCTTGGGGCAGAGTGTGGGGGCTTGGTGGATTGAGGGTCGGGGGTTTGCTGGCAGTGAGTTTTCCCCGGGGAGGGAGGAGAGGCAGCTTGCTCCCATTGGTTTCCATTCCCTGTGTGTAAAAGATACTTGGGTGTTCTCAGTTTTCCAACCTAGGGCAAGACAGGCTTCTTCTGAGGTCAGAATAATCTCTACCCCATTATTCCACATCCAGGCACTGAGACAATGCTTGACCCTGCTTGACTTGATATGTTTCTTCCAGGAGAAGTTCCAGGAGTCTCTGAAGAAGCTGAGGCAAGAGCAGCAGGAAGCTGAGAAGCTTAAAGCTGTTATCATGGAGAAGAGGGCATCCTGGAAGGTAAGGGATTATTCCAGAGGTGTCTTGGCACAAGAAGCAGGATGGGCATGGGAACACAGGCACAGAAACTTGTCTTGTCTGTTCCCGACTGGATGGAGGAGCTTCCCACCACCTAGCCCACCACAGCAACACCCAAGGGTGTTCTTGGTGTGTGGGGGAAGGGGGAATTAGAAAATGAACAAATCAAAAGGGAATCTAGGTATTTTAAAGACAGTCCCATAGGAGAGGAGCCATGGCCATTGACAGCCCCTAATTTCTGGATTAGACCTTGTTTTGCAGTTTCAAGCTCTGAAACCTCCTGGAAAGACAGGTTGGCACAGGCCAATCATACCTACGTCAGTATTCAGAACTAGAAGGGAGGCCAATGCCGAGGCTTAAGAGGCCAGGGAGGCTGCTTGGAATCTGACCCTAACCCGGGCATTGCAGTCTGCGTCTAGGAGGCCGAGGTAAGGCCACCTGGGGCTAGTGGTCTGGGAAGAGTTGAAGAGACAGAGGGCAAGAACAGGCTCTGCAGGACTTACTGCCCCGTTTCCACCACCTCTCCCAGTGAGACCTGCCAGGAGGGCAGAGCTGAGCCTGACTCCCCCACCCTCTGTAGAGGAGACCCTTAGCTCAGCAGCCTAGCAGACTCTTTCTCTTCCATGTTCCTGAAGAATCAGATGGAACCTGAGAGACACAGGATCCAGACAGAGTTCAGTAAATTGAGAATCATCCTGGACAAAGAGGAGCAGCAGCAACTGAAAAATCTGGAGGAGGAAGAGAGGAAGGGACTGAGTATTTTAGAAGAGGCTGAGAATGAGCTGTTCCAGCAGAACCAGTCGCTGAGAGAACTCATCTCACATCTGGAGTGGCGGTGTCAAGGGTCGGCAGTGGAGCTGCTGCAGGTGAGACTCATGAGGGTGCCCCCAGCCTGAGAGTGGGGGCATGAAGGCGCCCCCAGCCTGGGAGTCGGGGCAAAGAGAGTCTGATTTCCATTCCTTATGATATGGGGCTGATAGCCTAGTAGGGGCAAAAAAACTTCCCTTTGACCTTCCCATGCCTTTTTCTTAATAAACTGTGCAGAAGTCATGTATAACACATAGGGTAATTAAAAGTACACATGCTAAGAGAATGTCTCATTTTTATTTATTATATATAAAAAGTTCATTAGATACTGTGGAGAAGATGTATTGTATCCTGTGAGGTTCTATGGCAGCATTTCTGAATCTCAGCATTATTGACATTTTGGCCTGGACAATTCTTTGCTCTGGGGGCGCCCTGTACATTGTAAGATGCTCAGCAGCATCCCTGGTCTCCATCCACTAGATGCTAGTAGAACCGCTCCAGCTGTGACAGCCGAAAGCCCTCCACACATTGCCATATGTCCCTGCCTAGGGGTGCATATCCCCTCTCCCCTGTCCCCTTGTTGAGAATCGCTGGCCTCTGGGCACTGGTTTTCTCTGATGCTGTTTGGGGATTTGTCAGGTATTTCTCTTTCAAGTTACTCATAAGGAAACATATACCAAGCTTATCAAGCTTACCAAACTCAAGTACTGAGACATTCTTTATGTAGTCTCTAGCCTTTCTGTGCTTTCACTATCTTCTCTGGGGCAAAATCATTTAACGTGTTGTAATAGGAGTTTGCACACATCTTTTAGGGCTTGAAGAAAACTGGGCTCTGGTCAGTATGTTGGGGTTGTTGGGAGGGTGCAACATGGCACATCTAGAGATATTTGATGGAGCTTGAGCTGAGGTTGAAATCTGAGCAGGTACTTTCTGTGTAGCATGAATATAGTGTGACTGAAGTGGAGGCCAGATGTACCTTGTGACATTATAGAACCTTCAGACTGTTCCTTATTTTCTGTTTGCCCTCTTGCCTCCCTCTTGCTCTCCTTTTGCTGGTAGAATCATTATTTCCTTACTTGTTCTTGGACCCTATTTTTGGGGTCATGGGGTAGTTGCTTTCCACCTGTTGGAGCTTTTCCTCAATCACCGCTTCTGGCTTCATATCTTCATTTTGTTCTTGCTGGCCTTTTATTTTCATCTTTGGTGTTGGGTTACCCTAATACTTTCCACCCACCTTGTTCTAGCCCCTCCATGGGCTCCTCAAGCTGTAAAAATTCCTCTATAAGTGCAAAGGGATCATGAATTTATATCCTCATCCAAGCACCTGTGAAGGCTCTCAGCCCCATTAGTATGACTGCCTGATGGGCATTTTAACTTGAGTGCTACGTCACAGTCAATTTTTCCAGAACTTGTCCATCACTGCCACATTCCTCCTTCTATTTTCCCTATCTGTGTGACATTGCTTCCCATTAAGATTGATAGCCAGATGCAAGCCTGCAGCTTTCAAGTTTCAAATTATGAACCCTGAGAATACAGCTAATGTAAGAGAAATAGCTGAGAAAGGACTCACTGATCTGCTTGTGGAGTTGCTTAGTACAACCCTTACGAGTGATGGGACCCTGGAAGCTGTATGTAATCTGACACACCTACCACCCCTACTACTTCCTATATTCAGGCCAGTTTGATTCCTCCTGTGTTACACTGATCAAACCGTGGACCTTTTCTCCAGCATCATTGAGGTGGATAGAGCAAAAGTTAGGGAGACCAAACAGGAGGCCAGGAGGTAGCTCTGCACAAACAATGCAGGCAGTATCAGTGACCAGGTGAAGAGCAGGTGGCTAAGAGATTAAGGATGTGAAATGGGCAGCTTGGTTTAAGATGAAACATCATGGTGAATATAAAGTCATTTTTAGGAGAGTTTTTTGTCTAAATTTGTTGACTGAATGGATGTTCGTATCACTGAAGAAGATGGAAGATAACAGAGACCTCATGGTTTCAGTAAAAGTAAGTTTTCTTTTAAACATCTTGAGTTTGTGGTACCATGGCTCATTGGCTGGGTGTGTAAGAAAAATCTGAGCAGAAGTACAGATTTTGGAATTATAACACATGTGTGCATTAAAATCAGGAAAAACAGATGACATCAGCAAAGGTAGCATAGAAGGCTAATGGAGGTGAGGTTTGAGAGACAACCACAGGTAAGGCCCTTGTATCCTTAGCAACCAGAATGTAAGCATCTTGAGGGCAGAAATTATAATTTAATCATGTGGGATTCTCTAGTGCCAGTCACAATGCAAATAATAGATGATATACATATATATATATAAAACATTATACATACATGCACACACATACCCACACACTGTTGTAACAACAAAGCTAATAATGAATGAATGAATTTCCTGACATCGCTGTGTAGGGCCTTGGGGACAGTTCTACCCTGAGTTCTTATCCACTTTGTGGCCCCCATATATCAGGGCCATCTTTATTCCCATCATATCACAAGGTGGTGGGTATGGGATGAGGAACATGGGAGATGCTATATTAGAGGATAAGGCCTATTACTCCTTGACTTAACATGTCTCTTTCCTCCCTAGGATGTGAGTGATGTCACAAAAAGGTAGGAGAACATGAGGTGGTTCCCTTGGATTAACAAAAGATCCCTATATCCATAGAGTTAATGTGTGTTCAGTGGGAAAGGGAAAAAAAGTCACAAGACAGGAGAGATCTAGGACTGTAGTGTCTTGAACTGCTCATCATGAGAATTTTGGGGTCCCTAAAGATAAAGGGATGGCCCAGTTTCTGTGGTAGGAGAATTTGGGTGATAGGGAGTTCACAAACTGGGGACGGTAGTGTCTTTTTAAGCATAAAGGGTTGCAGTACCATTGACTCCCCTAGTCCCCCGCAATGGGACTCCTTTTTCCCAAACCTCTGTACCTGCTTCCAGCCCTAATTCCAGTAGTTTACAGCTCCTTCAAACTATACAAGTTTTTGTTTGTTTGGTTTTGTTTTTTTTGTCCATGTATATTATCAGAGGGAAATTTCCCATCTGCATTACTTTGCAAGATCAAAGAATCAGCGCTTAGAACATCTGCCTTAAATTTCCCTTTCTCCCTTGGCTTTGGACAGTCCATGCCTTGCTCAACCTAGTTCCCCTCAGATGCCCATCTTGCTCAGTTACACTAAAAACATACCTGAGGTCTTGAGAAGAGTGGTTTTAACCCTGGAACAGAGCTTGTTCTCTTCTCTTTCACATACTGTAGAATCCCATCCATCAGGGTGACTTCTAAAGTTGCCCACATACCTGGTACCTTTCAGCTCCTCCCAGACACATGGAATACGGAGCCTGCTGTCCCTTCTCAAGTCTTCACTCTCCATCTGGAGGTGAAGGTGTTGTCTCCTTTCTCCAACTGGCATAACATTGAGAGAGTGAATCTTAAGATGCCATTCTGAAGGCCCTTATTCCTTGGCCTCTGGGAGATCCTGAGGCCTAAGCTCACAGACTCTTCAGAAGGGAGCTCTTCACTTGACCGTCTCAAAGCCCCAGCTGGCTGCAGGTTCCTGGGGTTCTGCCTGTCGACACGCAGATATCTTCAGCCCCTGTGGTAGACCCTCTATGATGACACTGACATGTAAAGTGTTTTGTATTGTTTTACAGGTAGCAAAAGATTTCCCAGCCATTATTTGATTTAATTTTATGCAATCTCTAGGATATAGAGAGAAAGAAGGGAGATTTACTGTATCTTACAAAAATAACAAAACAAACAAATTGAAGCTTTGACAGGTTAAATCTTACCAAAGTTGACACGTATTGTGGGAAACTAGTTTCTAGTCCAGGTCTTCTGGATCCCCTGCCAGGGTTCTTTGCAGAACCATGCTAATTTTCTTGAGGAAGAGCATTGAAGCTCTCCAGGGAGCCTGGGAGTTGAGGGAGACACAGATGCTGGAGGGACCCAAGGTCAGCCGTGTAGGAGGTTCATGAGGTCTCGTCTCTCCAGGAGTGAGTTCTGCACTTTGAAGAAGCCAGAAGCTCTCCCCACCAAGCTGAAGAGTGTGTTTCGAGCCCCAGATCTGAAAAAGATGCTGCGAGTGTTTAGAGGTGAGCAGATTGAGGGGACAGAGTTTGGAAGTGGGATTACTGTGGTAGCAAGAAATAAATGAATAGAGGGCATAGTTGGTATTTGGGAATAGTGGCAAAGAGAGGGAGGGGCATAATGGGCTGAAGAAGATGTGGTTCATATTTAAGGGGGGATGAAGTGTCCGGCTCACATCCTTAAAAATTCCCTGCCTCACCCCTCACTCAGGTAGGGGGAGAGACATCACACCTGAGACTCTCGGTTCTGTACAATATGACTGACTTTTTTTCATCATTACAGAACTGACTGATGTCCAGAGCTACTGGGGTAAGCAGAAACCATGCCTTTTTGAGCTGCATGTTCTTATGCTCTTTCACGTGCTCTTCCCTAGACAGACCCGCACATGCTCTCAGGTTTGAGGTGTAGTTACCTCCCCTAGCCCCCACCATGCAGTTCCAGTTCTGTGACCCTCTTCCTTTGTCCCGTCAGTGCCGTAAGCCCCACACACCCATTCTCACCTGCTCACGTTGTGCCTTTTCCCACAGTGGATGTGACTCTGAATCCACACACAGCTAACTTAAATCTCGTCATGTCTAAAAACCGGAGACGGGTGAGATTCGTGGGTGCAAAGCTGTCTGGGTCTTACCTGGAGGAGCATTTTGACTGCGGTGTCCTGGGCTCTCAGCACTTCTCCTCAGGAAAACATTACTGGGAGGTAGATGTGGCCAAGAAGACCGACTGGATCCTGGGGGTGTGCAGTAATCCAGCGGGGCCTACGTTCTCTTTCCACCAGTTCACAAACAACCAGAGTGTTTACTCCCGATACCAGCCTCAAAGTGGATACTGGGTGATTGGGCTACACCACAAACACGAATATAGAGCCTACGAGGAATCCTCCTCTTCCCTGCTCCTCTCCATGATGGTGCCCCCTCGCCGTGTTGGGATTTTCTTAGACTATGAGGCTGGTACTGTCTCCTTTTATAATGTGACAAACCATGGCTTCCCCATCTACACCTTTTCGAAATACTACTTTCCCACCACCCTTTGTCCATATTTTAATCCTTGCAACTGTGCGGTCCCGATGACCCTGCGTCGCCCGAGCTCCTGAACGGTCTGCAGCCCCACCCTCATCTGGGCGGTTCCCTCTGAGGTTCAGCAGCACTTCTCTTAAGTTTGTATTTTTCTGCATTTCACCTCTTTCTCTTGAACATTTACTAAATGCTAGACCAACACCCAGTGGTGATAGCTAACATCCTTGACTAATTATTTATAGATTTTGACATGGGCTGGGGGTAAGTTTCACCATTTTACTGGAAAGCACACTATTTGATGATTTGTTGAGTCATGGAATCAAACTGAGGAAGTTTTTCTCTTCATTTGCTATTAAGTTTTTCTACTGAATGAAAAATTGGATTTCAACAGATATTGTCTCTAATTGTTATAGTAACCATGTGTCTTTTTATTCTGTTACTGGAATACATCGATTTGTTTCAGTTGTTAAATCTAACAAATTCCTGAAATAAACTTATTCTTCACATGAAATACTGTATTTGCTTTTTGGTAATACACGATGTAGGTTTTGTTTTCACCTGTTTATAAAAGAAGTTTACCTGTAATTGTATATTCTTGCAACATCCTTGTCAGATATTACAAAATGCAATAAATGAGCAAAGGAATTGCCATATATTTGTGTAAGTATATATAGGATCTGAAAGGAAAGGAGCGACACACAGCAGCAATTTACCAGAGAATTCC